GTCTTTCGTACAATGCTATTTCCTACATCATGATGCTGTACTCTGATCCCCATGCGGTCTCTGGAATTAGTCTAGGGTCAGAGCCAGAATTCATGCAAAGGAATGCATACAGACCGATTTCCGTCTCTGAATGGTGATCCTCTCAAAACGGCTCGTGGGCCGATCAAAACGAATCAGATTCTCTCTAAGATGTTGCTCGTACTGGATTAAAGGGGCGTTTCAGTGAGGCTCTGTTTGGCGCGCAGCTGCCCGTTCCCCACCAGCTAGTAAGTGACAGTCTGATGCAGATAGTAAGCGACAACAACCGATGGGAAAACTGAAACGAACGATTGGATACAGTCCTGTCGTTTGCCGAAAGATAAGAGAAAAAAAATGGACTGGTGCCGCGACAAACCCATCATACGCAGCATAAGCGACTGTGGTCTTTCGACCCACTCTCCGATTTTCCAACGACCCTGCGTATGAACTGCCGACTGTTGTGAACGGTCGTCCTTCTTCACTTTGAGTTCTACTGAGTTTCAGAGTTTTGCAACCATTCTGCCTCTAATTTGTTGTAGGAATTCTTGTCTGAAATAGGGAAGAAAAGCTAACTTCGCTCCGAAGTTTGTTCCAAATAGACAAGAGCATCCATCACTTTAACGTTCATTCGTGCATCTTGATGGGGTAACGCAAACCACTGGATCGCAACATTCACCACGTCCTTATCAAGTTCGATTCCTTCTATGGTTGCCTAAAAACTATGATTAATTAGGTTAGAATCAGAACTCGATAAAGTTAAAGGATAAAAGGATAAAGTCTTCGCCGTTGATCAATCCCTTTGTGGGATGCGGCACGCATTCTACTTCCATTCAGAATCGTAGTGGCTTATTGAATGCGATGTGGCCTATACAATGACTTGCGGTGGCCAGCCGATGTACAAGTCAGTGTTTTATCCTCCCAGACGAATCTGGTACCAATTTACCGTCCCCGGAGGGTAGAAGGCTTGGTTGGCCTGGGCGGGTGTCGACCTGGGATTCGAACCCAGGACCGCGCGAGTGGTAAGCGCGCCACTTGTATACTGGTGATATCCGCCTC